CAGCGTTTATATCAGTGAATGTTTATTTTCCGTTGAAGCCATGGTTTCTAAGTAATGTACAAATCTGATGCATCACATTTTTTCGGTATTCATTGGCTGTGATTGTTTTTCGCATTTTGATCATTTTATTGCAGGCTGAATATTATGACGACGAGGAAGAGGAGGAGGAAGAAGAAGAGAGACCTCGCAAGAGAAAAGGTGGCGCAAGAGACTTTCTTCTTGATGAAGTAGAAGTTGAATCTGACGAAGAAGAAGAAGCAGTAAATATTACAACTGTCCTGAATTTTCGTTCGTAATCCGCTTTATGGTCATAGCCAGAGGAAGGCTTGGAGAATGAAGCGCAGGAAGCAGAAGCAGCGTTGGCTTCTGCCAGAGAAATTGAGGGACGAAGACGCAGGGAAGAGTTATGGAAGTAAGTGTGATACACCATCTTGAAATCGCTATTCAAAATGCGGTGGCTGCTGTTCAAAACAATGGTTTATTTTCCTTCCCTGAGTGGACTAGAATTTGACTGATCACATTTACCGGTTGGCAGTGCCTCTTTGCCATGTGATCCATTTTAATGAGGATTAGAGCCGGCCCCGAACTGTGCGAGATATTCTAGGGTTCGCATTTCGAATCAGAAATAACCGAGTAGTGCAGGTTCTCATGCCGTTTCCTAACTAGCAGATGATCCGTGAAATGGATCATTTGTTCAGCCGAAATAATCCCACTATTGCTTCATAAAATCAAGAGATCCAAAATGATATTGAAGACGAAAGCACTGTAATGTCACAGAGATTCATTTGGCAATAATTTCGCGGCTCATCACAGATGATCGTGTCTGCATCATCCTGTCATGACTCATATTTGCGTCTTTGCCTGTCCTTTATGATACGTCTGAGCGATTGTTCTTGTAATAGCATTTCACTCTACAAGATCACTTTATTATATAGAATGTATTGTACTATGGTATTACCATGGTATTTATCCAATTTGACTATAATTTCTCTTTTTTTGCTAAGGAGTTATATAGTTCTGCAAGCCTTCGCTCTAACGGCTCCTGTAAATGTGTTGTTTGACGTGGGAGACTGCTATTTTCGTTTTGCTTGTAATCTTTTAAAACAATTTTTTATTGATCAGTATCCTTAGAGTTCGTTCTTATCACATGCAGAGGCCCGGTTACTTCTAATCTTAGTGTGCCGACCATAAGGAAATTCGTCTGATCGCGTGTTACCTATATTTTAAATTTTCTCTTTGTATCAGAACTCTCGATCTGGACAAATATCTGGATGTTATATGATTTGTAAGTTTCGGATTGATGATGGTGTATGCAATGTAAATAATCATTTTTTATATCCTCCTTTTCATGATCTCTAACAGTCATCGTGAATATTGACCTTGACCGAGCAGGACCCAGGTTTTGCGCCCTCGTCTACCACCATAAGACTTCTTATCATAGCTGCATGTTGAAGCGCTTGAATTGTTTGAGAAATCGTCTTGTTCTTGAACGAAAACTGCAAACATCTCTATGAATTGTCCTACTTGATGGCTGCTTCCTATGCAGAAGGAAATTGCTTCGTTCTCTATGCTAGTCTGTGAACCCTGTATGAAAGGACCGGCCCCGGAGTATCACCATCTGGAATTTGATCGAATGACCCGACGTGATTTGAACGGAGGAATTAGTGTCAGTGTTAAGGTTGTGTAGGTTATGCAGAACGACCGATGTTACGTCTGTCTTTTAAATTTGAATGGTGTGCATCGTTGATGGTGATAAACATTAATGTTCTTGCTCAGCAGAATGAAAACTATGCTCAGATACGAATTATTGTACCACCAATGAATTCATTAGCTTTGTTGAATTTGGCTCTGCTTTTTGCTAATCAGTGGATCGATTGCATTCTTATAGAGGGATGAATGAGGACGAAATTAATGAATATTTCCGGAAAAAATACGGTAGGTCCACCCATGCCACCGAAGGTGACGAGGAAATATTTGACGACATAAGTCAACAAGGACTGTTACCAAGCACGACGTAAGTTATGTTACTTTGGTAACAGCCTTGATTTCCCTCATGCTGTTACAAAATTCAGGGACCCTAATCTTTGGCTGGTCAGGTGTCGCATTGGAGAAGAAAAGCAGATAGCGTTGCTGCTGATGCGCAAGTTTTTAACATACGAGTGCACTGAGGAGGTGAACAGTTCGATTGAGTCAGTGTTGATTATTTAGCCATCAATGTTTTAGCCACTGCAAATCAAATCGGTGATTGTGAAAGAAGGCTTGAAAGGCATCATTTACATCGAGGCTTACAAGCAGCCCCATGTTTTACACGCTATCGAGGGAGTCAGTGCGCTCAATGCGAATAAAGTTCAGGTAATGACTACAATGTATTGCATAACGCTACTTCCATATGAATTTTTCGATTGTTCTCACTTCTAATTAAGCAGATCTGCCCCTTCGATATTGGTTCAAAGTATCAATAATTTAGTCTTAATACTTAATATTCACGCAGTCAAATTTACTTTAAGTGAAAGGTAATAGCAGTGCGCATTAATAGTTTAAAATATTTTCTGTCAAATAAATTATTAAATTCGAACGCTAAATTTTTGTGATGATGCAGTTCATGTCAAAGTGTATGTTTGGAATAGCAAGAAAAGATGGGAAAACGAAAAAATGCAAAGAAAAGTCTGAGCTATCATTGCCCAAGTGGAAAAATTGATGTGGCCTTAGGCAGGAGACTTTGCAAGAAGAAGCGATCATTGCTAGGTCAGAGAAGCGTAGTAGACTTAGTTCCAAGAGAGAGTAAACACTTTGCAGGAAGATCTCCAGATCAAGGGCAGGATGAGCTAAAGAAGTTCGTTGATCAAGACGCGTGACAGTCGCAAAAATAGAAGTTTTAACCAACGATTTGGAGATGCTTTCATCCAGCACTGGATCGAAAAATCTGCTGGTAATGATTATTCACAGTTTAGTTAGGTGAAATTTTACTGAAATTTGAAATATAATCTGCAGTAATTCAGTATCCTCTACATTTTTATTCAGTACCTGATATGTCTATTTTAATTTTTTCAGTTTTACTACAGAAAAGGTTGATTCTCAGGTCCAAGTTGGTCCAGACATAGAAACGGTTTTGAAATTGCAGTGTCGAAAATTGTCACCTCGTTTCCTTTCAACATTTAGATGAGCATCATAACGATCGAACTGTTTTGTAAACGGTAAATCTACTGACCTTGAAGCAAAACTACATCTGCCCAACAACATGCAGGTCACAAGAAAATCAACTTACGTACTCTTGGTATACTCCAAAATCATGATTGTCCCGGAGATACGACTGTTTGTGTTGCCTGCACATTTAGTCACGAGTGACAACAAAGTTCTGAATTTTAACATCGATGTGAATGATTGTGATTGAATGAGGATGATTGATGTAATATGATGTGTTCAGCGTATCATGATAAATGCCATGTTTACTCCCTTGCGAAGGCGACAGCCTTAGGTTAAGCAGGCAGTTGTTCCCTTTCAGTCGAACGTCGTATGGTTGGCTGGTAAACAAACCAGAACTTAACATCGACTGTCGTAAGTGCAAAGCACTATGCATTATTCTGCATCACCATCACCAAGTTTTCTGTCTGTGTAAAGCGCTTTTTATAAAAAGCGTTAGGAGTCAGTAGTGCGCCAAGGTGATACCGTCTCACCAGCGTTCTTCGCCGTATTTGTTGAGTCATTTTTGAACTATCTAAACTGATTCAGCGGCATCAGTATTGATGGAGAGCAGCATCCACACCTTTAAATTGCGGACCACCCTGTCGTATTCTGACAACGCGCCACAGAGCTCCAGCAGAAGGTCGAGCAGTTGCCAGAAGAATTTCGCACCATCGGTTTGGAGGTCAACTTCTTTAAAACGAAATGAATGCAAATCGAGCTCTATCTTGAAACATTTCTCTACGCAAACGGAGAACTGGAAGAAGTTCCC